GGGCCATCTCGAATCGAGCTAATACTGAGTCGATTCGCTCGCCCCTTTCGACGCGGAAGTCGATAAGGGCAGTGCCAGAGTTGAGCTGGCGCTCATCTTCCAGATTTTCAAATTTGGTGCTCAGTAAGTACAGTATGTAGGTTACTGCATCCGTTGGCTGTCCATTGACAGTTACACCATAATTGATGATCTGGGAGGGGACCTGCATGGCGATACGACGAGCCAGACCTTGAAGGCCTCGTTGTAGTGCTGCAGCTTGTTGTGGTGGTGTCATATTACCACTCGTTACGTTTAACCATGCATGTACTTCGCGAACGTATTCGCGGAAGGCGTAGTACCGGCAGGGTCCCACGAAGGGCCAGTAGTACGCGTGTCGTCCATCCCCTGCCGCATGTATCCCACAGCACATCCCATTATTACCCACAGAATGCCGAAGATAGTTATCTTGATCCAATGCATGTGCATTTCGGCTTCGGTGATTGGTTTGGGCTGTGGTTTGTCAGGCTCTGGCGTGGTAGCCGTGAGGCGCCTGACCGGCACGGGATGCAGGTGGCCCCGCTGCGGGTAGCCCCGCAGGGTGACCACGTTCTCGATCGAGTTGCCGATTGGCATCTGGTGGAAGTCGGGAGTGAAGTAGCGCAGTGAAGTAGGAGAGAGCGTCTCGAGTTCGCGGGTTGCCCCGCTAGCTCGATCGCGGACTGGCTCCGCTCCTCGCAGAGCCGGCGCAACATGGTATTCCACCGTAGTAGTAGTCCACCAAGTTGTGCCGTGGATTACAGGAATCAGAGCGAGAGCCAGCCACACGAGAGTGTAGCCAGCTCCGCTACCAAGTCGAAAACAAGCTGGTAAGCTTAGGTATACAGTCCGCCTTAGGCGCTTCCATATCCCAGGCTTAGGCTCATAGCGCATGAGCAAGAGAGCGAGACGAAGCATGGGATCTGGAGTAAAGAGTAAGGATGGGCATCGTCAATGGAAAAGGATGTTTTCCGATCTCGGATGCAAGTAGTGCGCCTCAGTGAGGCACAGTCACATATCTGGCCGGGCCCGGCTTGAGCCAGGCACGGCAGCGGTACATGCTCGATTTATATCTCGCCTTTAACCTTCTCCGTTTAAAGTGTCCTGGGATCGCCTTTGGCCGTCTTGGGGTCCTCCCGGGGGCCTCCTGGACCCTCGTGTGACGATCTTGAGAGACAGTATTGTAGCCTTGGGCGCTTTGAAGACGAAGAGGCACTGGAATTGCCCAAATGGACGTTTTCCCTAAGGATTTGGAGAATTCTTCCTCGTTGGAGCCCACTTGGAGCAATTTGGGCGCCGCTTGGCCCGTCTGGAGGCTATCTCGGGCGTCTGCGAGAGCTTTCGGACCATCTCGGAGGCCCGCTTGGACCGTCTTGGGGCGTCTTGGGGTCCTCTCGGGGAGTTCCGATCCGGTCCTGGAGCGCTCCTGGGCCTTCCTGGAAGCGCGCCGAGGCAAGCTGGGGCTCGCGGGGGCCCGCAGGGGGCGCCGGAGGAACGTGTCCGACCCACGCACTTCTCGCACGCGCGGGGCCCTGCAATGTAGTAGAGATTAGGGCTGACCCGCGGACTACCGAACACGAGTGCCAGTGGTCAGAGTGTGCTTGCTGCTGATCATTGCTTCAGGGTGCACTGCTCGCTTGATGATCCTGACGGAGTTCAGAGCAGCGCTAGAACTACCAGCAGCAGCAGATCCAAGGGTACGGGCAGTAGCAATAGCACCAACTCTGGTAGTACTGGCATCAGTGCGGCCGAAGTAGCAGCGGCAGCAGCTCCAGCAGAAGCTCCTGTGGCGGAGGAGAGCGACGACGGGGAGGAGAACAAAGAAACCCAAGATGATAGGAACAAACCACACCCCACACATCTTGGGACACGCTCGGCGCGGGAATGGTCGCAGAACCAGCGTTCCCCGGCGTCCGCGGCTGGATCAGACAGCTCTTTTCTGCAACCCCTCCCGCGCGAGAGGTGTCCCAAGAGGTGTGGGGTGTGGCCTTTCCCAAACACCGAATGCTTTCGAAAAAAAACACATCGGAGCTGCTTGGAGGGAGCTGCTAGAGGCCTTCTGGGAGCATGTGGGGTGTCGTTTGTTTCCAGTCAACATGGGCCTTCTAGGAACATGTCCGAGCCGTTTCGAGGGAGCTGCTGGGGAGTCCCAGAGGCCGTCTGGGATACTCTCGAGGGCTTCTTGGGGGTCTGTTGGCCGTTGGGGGGGCGGGTTGGAGGCAGAGAGATCCAGAGTTGGCCCTCTTGGGCCTCCATTGGGGCCGTCTTGGGGGGCTGTTCGGCCGTCTTGGGAGTTGAGTGTCTCTGGGGCCGTCGTAGGGACTCTCTTGGGAGCTCCCTGGGCGTCCCTCGGACGATTTGGGAGGCTTCTGGGGGCGGGTTGGGCGTGTTTTGGGCTGGAGAAGCAGCGATCGCAGAGGGAGCGCGAAAACACCTGGAGAATTAGTTGTTCGTTTTCGTGGACCTCTCGGAGGCCACATGGGAG